ACAAAAAAAGGGGATACAGATGAATGTCCATTTTGTATCTGTCTATTCAAAATGGTTAGGATAGATATATAGCTACAATCTCTTAATTGAAGGAATAGAGGGATTTGTTCTAATAGTGTTTGTAAATAGGACATCATGTCTGCATCTTGTACAATAAATAACCACTAGGAAGACAGTATGTAATGTGTTAATTATTGAAACTGTCCTACCAGAGTGATTTGAAACTGTCTCACTGCTCTTTGTTTCTCAATGAAATCATGGAAAAGAAAAAGATCAAGGTCACAGTAATTTGGACAGTTCCTGTAGTCTGCATAAATTAAAGCCACAAATGGAAGTATTTTCATTCAGCCTTGAACATCATTGTATCTTGTACGCTATCTACTCAATCCTGTTCTTTTGATTGAAAACTTCTAGCATCTCCCTGTGGTAGTGATTAACCCAAACAGTGTGACCAGAGTGGTGCAGATCTTTATAACAATAATGATTTTTAAAGGTCAAAACAAAGCAAAGAAAAACATGGAAAAGGATTTTCACTTTTTGAAACCTATCATGCTTTCCAAATTTGGCTGCTCAGTGAAATCTGATTCCTATGGCCTTCAAAACAAGAATCAGTCTGGTGAGGGTCATGTTCTACAGAGCACTGGATGAAGAGTTGAACACACGATTCTACAGATGCTACCTGACTTGACAACAGACGACATCGTCTTCATCTCAAAAGTAACCGAAGACAAAATGCATAGAAAAGACACAGAATATACCAGATTAACTGAACATTTAGGCTAAGTCTTGGGTCCTTTTAACCTCCCTAATACACATGCTTTGATCTCTATTTGAAGCAATGCATGTAACACAAAGTCAAATTCATAACAAAACACTGAGTATTTTGTGTACTCTCTGTGATAACAGCATATGGTGTCCCATTTTTTTTTTTTTTTCGGAATCGGGGATTGAACTCAGGCCCTTGCGCTTGCCAGGGAAGCACTTATTCCACTGAGCCATCTCCCCGGCCCCTGGTGTCCCATTTTTGACAGAGCAGTGAGTTGTTACGGCTATGCACCACCACAAGGAAGTGTTGTATTGGGTACAACTAATGTCAAAAGTGAGTAAGCTTCAAAATTAAAAGATCTGTAATAAAATTTTCTTTTGCTCTTTATTACTCAAAGCTTAGTGCAAGCTCTCACACATACCAGACAAGTTAGTTTGGAGAGGAGGTATACCACAAAATATTTTATTCATATTTCAAAAAATATTTTGGGGCTAGGGAGATGGCTCAGTAGAATAAGTGCTTGC